TTAACTGTCCCTGATATTCCCTCTCTAGGTCTCCTCTGCTGTGTTATGGAATTAAAAAACGGACATTCCATTTCTCCAAGAAATAGGCAACATGCTATGACAGAAGTCAGGGTCTGTCACAGGAAGCAAGAAAACTCCTGTCAGAAATGTGTCTATAACCAATTCCCACCAACATGCTTCAGATCAACAGCACACAGTTCCACCCTTCCTCCTTTCTTCTGATAGGTATCCTGGGGTGGAAGATGTGCACATGTGGATCGGCTTTCCTTTCTTTGCAGAATATCTCATAGCCCTTCTGGGGAACATCATTATCTTGTTTGTGATTCAGACTGAACGCAGCCTCCATAAACCAATGTTTTACTTTCTGGCCATGTTGGCCTGCACTGATCTGGGCTTGTCCAAAGCCGCCATCCCCAAGATGCTAGCCATTTTCTGGTTCAATCTCAGAGAGATTGTGTTTGGTGCCTGCATCACACAGATGTACACCATCCACATATGCACTGGCCTGGAATCTGTGGTGCTGACAGTCATGGCCATAGATCGCTATATTGCCATCTGCAACTCCCTAAGATACACCATGATCCTCACCAACAAGGTGATAGCCATTCTGGGATAGTCATCATAGTTAGGACTTTGGTGTTAGTGACTCCTTTCATCTTTCTTACCCTGAGATTGCCTTTCTGTGGTATCCGGATTATCCCCCATACCTACTGTGAACACATGGGTTTGGCAAAGTTAGCTTGTGCCAGTATTAGGGTCAATGTTATTTATGGCTTCATTGCTTTCTCAGTGGGATTCATTGACCTTTCAGTGATTGGATTTTCCTATATTCAAATTCTCCAAGCAGTCTTCCATCTCCCATCCTGGGATACCCGGATGAAGGCACTCAGCACCTGTGGCTCCCATGTCTGTGTCATGTTGGCCTTCTTCCTGCCAGCCCTCTTTTCCTTCATGACATATCGCTTTGGCCACAGTATCCCTCACTATATCCACATACTTTTGGAAAATCTGTATGTGGTTGTTCCCCCTGCCCTTAACCCTGTTATCTATGGGGTCAGGACAAAACAGATACGGGAGCGAGTACTAATGATGCTTCATCCTAAAATCCATTGACATTTAGCCCCAAGAGTATCTTCCATAGTAATCCAATAAGGAAATAATGAGATCACACCAGAAGTAAACACTGGAAATATTTTTGTTAAACTTCCCCAGTAAGTCAACAATGAGATCATAAATAGCAGGAACATTTTTGTTTAACTCCTCTGACATTTCCTTACAAGCCAATCACATTATGTGTACCTCCATTGCACATAACTTCAGTACACCCATCAAAAGGCATAGCATAGAGATTCCACAACAATCTCTCTACTATGATCCATGAAGAGTACAAAATAATGTTCATGTTTAAACCTACTGGTATCTCAAAATTCCTGAAGGGAGTAAGAGGTTTTGCAAAAACTTGTTGCAGCAACAAGTACCTTGAACAACTTCCTCCCACCTGGAGATTCTCTCCATTCACATTCACAAGGTCAAGT